GGAACTCACTATATAGACCAGGCTAGCCTGGAACTCACTCACTATGTAGACCAGGCTAGCCTGGAACTCACTCACCCTGTAGACCAGGCTAGCCTGGAACTCACTCACCATGTAGATCAGGCTAGCCTGGAACTCTTGATAAGCCTCCCATCTCTGCCTCCTGAGTGCTAGGATTAGGGACATGAGCTATCACAGCTAGTGGCATCTTAAGAGTTGATTCTGGGGTTTTTTTTTTGGGGGGGGGGTTGTTTGTTTGTAGTAAGAAGTTCTCAGCACATGCCTTCTAGAAATTTCTCTGAACCAGATATAGTCTATAAGTTCACATAACCTTTTACACAAGGTTATACGTGATTGACACACAAAAGGACTAAGAAGGAATTCCATTATTTATGTTCTGTCAGAAACTAGACCAGTTATTCACCAGCATTTTCTCAACCTAAAGTAAAATGAAGGACCATTTGATCCTAGTATGCTCTCAAATTTTCTTACATACCGTCACAGACCTTGGAAGTGGAAGGGAAAATGAACTACCATTCAATCCTAGCTAGAATTTAATTTCTCAGATTTCCTTACATACTGTCACAGATCTCAGATGTGGAAAGGAAAAAGACAGCTGGCCCTGGTAGAGCATGCATGCCAGTCACCCAGCTACTCAGGATGCTGAAGCAGAAGGATCATGAGTTAAAGGCTTGCATGAGTTAAAGGCTTGTTGAGACCCAGACTCAAATAAAAAACAAAAGGAGGCTGAGGCTGGGCGTGGTGGCACAAATCTTTAATCCCGGCACTGGGGAGGCAGAGGCAGGAGATCTCTGAGTTTGAGGCTAGCCAGGTCTACAGATGGAGTTCCAGGTCAAACAGGGCTACCCAGAGAAATCCTGATTCAAAAACAAACAACATCACAACCATCACAAATGGAAAACAAACAAACAAATGAAGACTGAGGATATGGCTCAGTGGTAGAGTGCTTCCCTAGCATGTGTGGGCCTTATTTCAATCCCCAGTATGACTAGGGTGGAGAGTTCTTTCAGGGTAGCTCCCAGCTAGGGCAAGAATTATTTAGGGTTGGGAATTCCTAGCACAGTTTGCTCCAATAATAACGGTGAATTCCACATCTGCTACTTTAATCAATTGCAGGTCAAATTATTTAAAAAATATATGAGGGCTGAAGATATGGGCTAGTGCTAGACTGTTTTCTGAGGAAACTGTGAGTTTATTCCTAGAGCAATCTCTACTGTGTATATCTTTTTCTTGTCATTCCATAAAAACAGCATAGAAAGTTATGTAGTTACATTATATTAGGTATAAGTAATTTAAAGAGGCTCTAAATATCTGGGGAGACTATATTTGGTTACATGTAAATACTATGATATTTCATAAAAAGGGCTTGAAATCTGCAGATGGGGAGGGATGGTTTCTGTGATAAATTTCCCACGGGTACCAAGGATATGGTGGTACTCTGAGTTAGAGCTAGGGGATTTGTCTCGTAAGTATAATAATCAATAATAGCTAAGAAAAACCAAAAGAAGTGAATTTTCCTGACTCCATTAACATGTCTGGGAAGATTTATGTCTTGCTTGGGAATTTGGAGTTAAGAACTTTCTGTCAGATTGTCACAGCGGTCTGTCAATAACCATGCAACCCTCTACAGACCTACAGACCTTCTTATTTGTTTGCTTAGTTTTTAAAATTCACTTCCAGTGCTGTCAACTTTGGAAAAAAGTATCCCAGTTTACCGTGTTGAGTTGGCATTGTACAAAAATTAACAGCCATATTGGTCTAGAAATGTTGAATTTAATTTTTTTGCCATTTTTATTGTTGCAACACACTGTATTAAATATGTAAGGTCTTAAAAAAAAAAAAGAAGGGATTTTGAGAGCCCATCCCATGTGAAGGGACGCTCTCTTGGCCTGGACACATGGGGTAGGGTCTAGGCCTGGCCCAGGATGATGTGGTAGACTTTGGGGAGCCCTTTTGAGGGCCTTACCCTGCCTGGGGGGAGGAGGGGGGATGGCTAGGGGCAGGTGGGATGTTGGGGGGATGGGAGGGAGAGGGAGAAGGGACTGACATGTGAAGCAAGCTTGTTCCTAATTTGAACTAATAAAAGAATAAAATAAAAAATAAAAAATAAAAAAAATTCACTTCCAAATTCTTGTTTAAAGAGTTCAGTCCTACAAATGAGTGGTGCAAGACCCAGCTGTACACTGCTTTTCTTGGCTCACTAGCCCTCATCACTGTCTTTTTGCTATGCCCCTGAACATGCTCTACCACCATAGACGGCTCTTCCTGGAACCTGCTGTGTGTATTGTAGATGCCAATGTGCTTCACCTCTAAAATCCTAAGCTTCCATAGTGTCAGAAGGTGCTTTGTAGGCTGCTGGGGGAGAAGAATCACTAATGGATTACCCACACAGTGAATCCTTAATGCCTGAATACTAACCCCTGGGCAAGGTGTGCTTACTGGTACAGCAGTGGCATGAAGGTTATAGGGCCAACCAACCACTTTCTGACTGAATTTGAGGCCTCCTCCACAGGAGGGAATTCATGCCAGTCAAAAGGCCAGGCTTGGGAGGTTATAGGCCCTATGTGGGGGGAAACGACTACTGATGTTTTGCTAAATGGACATGCCATCAAACTGTCTTCTAAATACTTACTGCTATGCCCAAACATTAGTGCTGTTCTCAACTTTGGCCAGGGAAGGTTCTTTAACAGTGGGCACCAGTTAATGCAGAGACTCATAAATGATCAGAGTGACTATCGAGTGAATAAGTGACTATGGAGTGCTCATCCCTAAATGATACATCTGTATCAACCACCTGGAAGCTCAGGCAGCATCACTAAAGAGGGAGTGGAAAGAATGTAAGAGCCATGGGATGGGGAGTAGTGAAGTGAAATACTGTCTTCTAGACGTGACACAGCTGTTGCCCTCATGAACTCTCAGCAGCTGTGGTTACTAATGCAAGACCTTCAGATCAAGCCAGCAAGACCATCCAACTTTGGATTTAGTAGGTCACCACTGTTACCACCATTACCAAAGGCGTGAAGGTGGGAAGGGGATGTATTGGGGGTCAAGGAGGGATGGATAGGATCAAGATACAATGTGTCAAATAAGTAAAGGCATTTTAAAAATTTTTAATTTTTTAAAAATCGGAACACTCTCCTATATGCTACAATACTACTGCACTTAAGAACAGTAATTCCATGTTGTCTAACATGCAGTCCATATTCGGGTATCTTGAACATCTCCAAAATGCCTCTACTTATTTATTTTGGATGCAAGGTTGAGATGGGGTCTGGAACTCACCTATGTAGACTAGGCTGGCCTCAAACTCACAGACACCTACCAGCTGCATTAAGGCTGCATCCTGATCCCCAAATGATCTTTTACAGGTATCGTTTTCTCGTCTAGCAGTCAAAGTCCACATACACCAATCCACAGTTACTCCTATGCTGTCTATGGCAGCTGTTCCCCTACCTCTGCATTGTCTTGTCTGGAATACTACATGGGTGACATGATGGCCTTTTTTATTAGAGCAGGAGACTCACCAGAGGTACTACCTTGACCTTTGGGGGATGATGAAAACTTCCTAATCTCTGCATTGTAAAGACACGTTCTCCCTGAGTAAGACACTCTGAAATAATACGAAAACCCTGCTCTCACCCTTCTTTCACACAAAGGTTTTGTACCAGTTGATGGTTAGGTCAGTGTTGGTACAGTGCCTCTCTCAGTCCTTCTATTGTGCATTCACTTTTCACACAATAACCCATCAGTACCATTCTCTCTTTCCTCACTGTATATTCTCCCTGGTTATTTCTTGCTGGAGTCTCCTCCCCCACCTTCTGGTAGAGCACACACATTTGACAGCTCAGGCCCAGCCCTAGGGAGCCACCGACCTTTATCAGCTGATCGCACTGCCTTCTGCAAACAAAACCACCACACCATGGTCTGCCAATTTATGTTAACATAAAAACCAAAACCTTTGTGATATTTCTTGAGTAGATTGAAGAGAACAGAGGGAACCAGGTAAAAACAAATTAACAAATAAACACCTCGATTAACTAAGCTCTGAAAATCTTACAGCTTCCTTAGGTAAAAAGCTTTCGGTAAAAGTGCTAAACATTCTTGCCATTTCAGTTCCTTGATACAAGTATCTAGGAATAAAGAGGTTCAGAAACCATTTCACCAAATACCCCATTTTACTCGGAGAACGCAGCTCACAGAGGCGAAGGAAGAGTCTGGCCTAGGATCCCTCAGCTCCTCAGTGGTGGAGCTGCTACAGAAACCATGCTTTTGTAATACCTCCTCTGATGTTCTTTTTTTCTCCTTTCCCAAGCTCATGGTGAATCAGATATTTAATAAGAGCCGAAGAAGCGGTAGCGTGGCGTTCTCGGCCTCTTTACTGTAATTTGCAGTAATTTTAGCCCCATCACCTTCCCACCTTCTGACATTTTAAAATAAAAATTTTCCCAAACCCTTTATTATTATAAACCGACCTTCATTTTTTTGCAGGTCAATAGGTTAAGACAAGGAAGCCCCGGGAAGGCACGAACCAGCATGATTTTTAAGCAGGGAGAATAAGAAAAAGATTCTCTGGGACCTGCAAAGGGCGGCTTTCTGAAGGCTGAAGCGTCCTGTGACAGCTCGGAGAGAAGCCGACCGGAGTCCTCCCTTCCCAGGCTCCTGCTCAAATGAGGCCGCGAGATGCTCCTGACTCTGGGAGCTTATCACACGTTAACCAGAGAGGAGAAAATGGGAAACAAAGCCCAACCTGGAAAACCCCAGCTCCGCAGCCCCTGGCGACCGGAGACCGCGCCCTCTCTGCATCTGCGCGTGGAGTGCGGTGCTGAGGGGGCTGCGGGGCTGCAGCGCACGATGCAGCTGGTACCCACAC